GGGTGGACAATTTTATAAACAAAATCTAGGGAAAAATTATAAAACAAAATAGAAATTTGTACATATCGAGGAAGAGTGAGTGGGAAGTGTTGGAGTTGGGGCGGAAGAGGGCAAAGTGTTGACAACTCTCTCCTTTCTACTCTAGAAAATGAGCAAATTTCACNTTGTTTGCCTCTTTCTTTCTCTTCTTTCCGAGTGCAATCCTCAGTGGCGCTCTGTTATTGATTGCCGGCAAAACAGAGGAGCGCTCTTTACTGAACTCGCAAGTTCGAAAACTGTGACAGCGCCCTTGGCTTCAAGGCTTGCTGAAGAGGAGGAGGAGGAGGAGGAGGAAGAGGGTGAAATGCTTCAGTGGGTACTGGAAAGAAGTTAGAGAGGACCATAGAGGATCATCAGTTGACGGTGATAATCACGGTGATACTGTTTAGCAGTTTAGCTGAATTTGTTTTGTGCTTGATAGAACAAACACACACAAACAACAGTTTACATTCAACCACGACCTTGGAGTGCTGTTACTAAAACCTGATCGTCACGCATCATTCGATGATGATGGTGGTGGTGAATGTTGGCTGAATCACAGTTTAGAAAAGGGGGTGGACAATTTTATAAACAAAATCTAGGGAAAAATTATAAAACAAAAAAGAAATTTGTACATATCGAGGAAGAGTGAGTGGGGAAGTGTTGGAGTTGGGGCGGAGGAGGGCAGGGCAGAGAGTTGACAGCTCTCACCTCTTTAGCTTTTCTACTCTAGAAAATGAGCAAATTTCACTACTTGTAGAAGAAGGTACTTCAAAGAAGAAAAGGAAGAAAATAATTGGAAGGCACCGGAGATGATCGGGAGTTGCAGTTATCATCATCATCATCAATTCATTTCGTCATCAGGCTTTGTGGTAGGCGTCCTTTTGGATGATGTCTCGCATCTTCTTGAACATCTCCGGCAGGACCTTGCCGGTGTCGTCGGCGCACTTCATCACGCACTGCTCAAACTGGCCCTCGAACTTCTTCATCTGCTGGTCAGTGGTCTCCGCGGTCATCTTGTCCCGCACCGAGTCCTGGCAGGAGAGGGCGCACCGCTCTAGCCGGCCCTAGAAAAGAAGACAAAGATAATGAGGTTAGACTCATGGTAATCTAAAACAGAAGAACCAAACATTGGGTTACCTGAAGACCAGTCAGTTCATTGGTAATGTAGGTCTGCGCCTTTCGAAATCGAGTAGAGCAGCTCTCGACGCAGTTGGCCACCTGCTCGGAGGAGGCGGCTTTGTCGGCGCAGCAGTTGGCCGAGCACTGGAAGGTCTCTTGCTAATAGGTGTTGAAAAGTCGTAAAAAGTCAATTAGAAATCAATCAATGAAGAGTGGGCGTAATTCGATCACCTACCTGCATCTTTCGAAGTACGGCGCTGTCCAGGTCACCGAGCAGCTTCGTGACGCCCTCCTGAACGCGCTTCTGTGCCTCCTGAGCCATCGTTGCTTCCTCTTCTTCTTAGGACGACTAGAAAAAAATGTTAAGAAAGAATCTAAAGAATACAATCTAAATCGACTCAAAATCAGCAAACAGCAAAAAATGGCAATGTTTTGAATCGGAGCTGCTGCTGCTGTTGCTGCTGCAGTGGTCACGTGCCGCTGAAGCGCCGCCGATCACTGCATTTGCGAGCGCTCTGAAGCCGACGGGGGCGGCAGCCCACCCGGTGGTCCTCTTCACCGACGGCGGGGCAGTACTGCTGAAAGAGGGGGCTGAGGAGCGGGGCACCGTAAAGAGGGGGCGCTCCAGCCCGCCAGTCTGCAACGTGCTCGCTCTTCCGCAGCAGTCTCTTCCTTCTTTTGCCTCACGCTTTCGCCGCCGCCGTGTTTGTGTGTTTCTACTTCTCCCGACGTTCCAACCTTTAAACTCCACCAAACTTCACCGCCCAACCATGGAGGAAGAGAACGCCCAGCAGCCGAAGAAGCGCACCTTCAAGAAGTTCTCCTACCGCGGCGTCGACCTGGAGCAGCTGCTCGATAAGAGCACCAAGGAGATGATGGACCTCTTTCCGGCCCGTGCCCGCCGCCGCCTCTCCCGCGGCATGAAGCGCAAGCCGATGGCCCTCATGGCGAAGCTGCAGAAGGCGAAGCGCGAGACGGCGCCCCTGGAGAAGCCGGAGACGGTGAAGACCCACCTGCGCGACATGATCATCCTCCCCGAGATGGTCGGCTCCATCGTCGGCGTCTACAACGGCAAGGTCTTCAACCAGGTGGAGATCAAGCCGGAGATGATCGGCCACTACCTGGGCGAGTTCAGCGTCACCTACAAGCCGGTCAAGCACGGCCGACCCGGTATCGGTGCCACGCACTCGTCGCGATTTATTCCCCTCAAGTAAACAACAGCAGC